ATTGTATAATGTTCAGCACTGCTCGCAACTCCTCAGATACTGAGACGGTCTACGTCCGGGATTGGGAAGCAAAGGATAACTAAAAGAGCAATAGTTGGGCTGGGCAAGGTAAATAAAATATCAGGGCAAGCTAGCTAATGTTATGGACCAGACCAAACCCTTTCAAAATATATTAACGAGATAGCCCAGATGCTAACTTTTTCTTATTTTAAAGGCAAGAGTCAGGCATTGCATTCCAGGCACAATTCAACTGGTCTAGGTGCTAAATTTGAAGCAAAACACACTTATACACTATAGTTAAAATACAACAAAAAAATGAAGGATTTTGAATAACATAACTCTATTGGAAGACTTAGCAGAATAACAGAATATTAACTAATACGAATTAACTGTTTCAATACAGTAACATCCCATAAACGCACCCTCAGAAAAAGGCAAGTTCAGAAAAGTAGATTGTCTCACAGGCAACTCTCCAGTCCAGGAAGAAAATATCAAGAGAAATCTCTGAGACAGAGAGTAGCAAGGAGAGATGTACTTCAGCTTCCATCCAGCTTTAAGACCCAGCAGCAACTGCTACTGAAAACTAAAACTAAAAATCCTGGTTCTGTGGGAGCTTGACCCCATCCATTCAAGCTGCTTCTATTGTCCCAACCTCTTGAAAAATACCAAGGCCTCACAAGCTGTTTACCCCATAGGCTTTCAATAGATAGCTCTACAACTCAGTCTTAAAACGTCTCTTCAAAGAAAAAGGACAAAATACACCTCTTAAAGCCATAGTACTGTCACACTAGCAACATAAAAAAAATTGCAAGAGTTTTTTTTAAGATATATAAATGGTAAGACAGGGGCAAGAGTGGACATTGGACCGCTGGAAAATGAGGCTTGAGAAATAGTAATGGGGAACAAAGAAACGGCAAAGCAACTGAATAGGTTCTTTGCATCACAGCATACCAGAACTTCGAGAGAGTCAGGAACAGAAGTGGATGTAGTGGCCATCCTAAGGTGGTGTTTCACAAGCTGAAAGGTCTGAAAGCAGATAAATCACCAGGACCAGTTGGACTACACCCCAGAGTTCTGAAGGAGATAGCTGAAGAGATAGTGCAGGCATAGCTGGTGATCTTTCAGGAATCACTGGAGTCAGGGAGGATCCCAGAGAACTGGAAAATGGTTAATGTAATACTCCGTTTAAGAAAGGACGAAGGCAGATGATGGGAAATTATAACCTGGTTAGCCTGACTTCAATCGTTTGTAAGATTTTAGAACCCACAATTAAGGATGAGATTGAGGAGGATTTGGAAGTGCACCATTAAATAGGGCAGAGTCAGCATAAGTCAACAGGAGGTCATGCTTGACAAATCTATTAAAATTCTTTGACAAATCTATTAGAATTCTTTGAGGAGTTAATGAGCAATTTAGACAAAGGACGGCCAGTCGACATGATCTATTTAGATTTCCAGAAGGCATTTGACAAGTTGCCACATGGAAGGTGTTACGGGCAAGGTACTGGCATGAACAGAGGACTGGCTGACTGGCAATGGCCGAGAGTGGGGATAAAGGGGTCTTTTTCAGGATGACAGCCAGTGACTACTGGAGTTCCACTGAGGTCAGTATTGGGACAACTATTCCCGTTATACATGAACGATCTGGACAAAGGAAATGAGGGCTTCGTGGCTAAGTTTGCAGATGACACAAAAATAGATGGTGGGACAAGTGGTGTTGAGGAAACTGGGAGACTGCAGAATGACTTGGACTGTCTAGGAGAGTAGGCAAAGAGGTGACAGATGGAATACAATATGAGAAAGTATGAGGCTATGCACTTTGGCACGAAGAATAGAGGCATACACTATTTTCTAAATGGGGAAAGGACTCAGAAACCAGATACATAAAGGGACTTAGGAGTCCACGTTCAGAACTCTGTTAAGGTTAACATGCAGGTTCAATTGGCAGTTAGGAAAGCAAATGCAATGTTAGTATTCATTTCGAAACGGCTAGAATACCAGAGCAGGGATGCACTGCTGAGGCTGTATAAGGCTCTGGTCAGACCGCATTTGGAATATTGTGAACTGTTTTGGGCTCCATTACTATGGAAGGACATGCTGGCATTGGAGAGGATCCAGAGGAGGTTTACAAGAATGATCCCAGGGATGAAAGGCTTCTCATTTGAGGAGCGGTTGAGGACTTTGGGTCTGTTCTAAATGGAGTTTAGAAGGATGGGGGGTGGAGGATTGCATTGAAACTTACAGGATTCTGAGAAGCCTGGGTAGAGTGGACATAGAGAAGATGTTTCAACTAGGAGAGACTAGGACCTGAGAGCTAAGCCTCAGAATGAAGGTACAACCCTTTAGAACTGAGACGAGGAGGAATTTCTTCAGCCAGAGGGTGGTTTATCCATTGAACTCATTGCCGCAGAAGGCTGTGGAGGCCAAGTCATTGACTGTGTTTAAGGCAGAGATAGATGGTTAGTAAGGGGATCAAGGGTTACAGAGATACAGCAAAAGAATGGAATTGAGAAACATATCAGCCATGATCGAAGGGCGCAGTTAACTCAATGGGCCAAATGTCCCAATTCTGCTCCTATATCTTATGCTTTGGGTTGGCAAGTAACATTCATGTCAGGCAAAGACCATCTCTCGTGCCCCTCGACCTTATGATCACTGAAATCCCCAGTATCAACATCCTAGGGATTACCATTGATCAGAAACTGAACTCCACCAGCCATAAAAATACCATGGCTATTGGCTTATGACTAAGGGCAGGAATTTTGTGAATTTAATTCACTTCCTGTCTCACTGCGGCCTGCCCACCGTCGACAAGGCACATTCAGGAGGTGTGAAGGGAGTCAGTTAGCTAGATGGCTGGTTTGCGAGGAAGGGCGATACCAACAGAGTAGGTTCAATTCCCACACTGCGATGGAAAACATGAAGATCTGTCCTTCTCAAACTTGAGGACCTTTTTGGTAGTGTCTCTGTCTCTGAACCAGGAGGCCCAGGTTCAAGGCCCAACTGCTCCACAGGTACGTATTGACATTTCTGAACATTAGGATTTTTTTTTATAAAGAGGAGTGCAAAGGAATACTCGAGTGGAAGAATATAGCCGCAACAGCATTCAAGATGCTTAGCACCAAACAGGAGAAAGCAGCCTGCTTCACTGGCACTCCATCCACCACTCCCTTCACCACTGATGCACTATAACGTCAATGGACTCCATCTACAAGATATACTGCTGTAACTCACGCAGGCTCTTTCAACAACACCTTCCAAACCTGTGACCTCCAACACCTGGAAGGACCAGGGCAACAAAATACATGGAACACCACCAAGTCTCCCTCTAATCCACTCACTTTCTGATTTGGAACTATATGACCATTCCTTCACTGGCACCAAGTCAAAATCAATTTTGCAATTCAAGCTCATCACCAGCTTCTCAAGGGTAGTTAGGAATGGGAAATAAATTCTGGCTTTGCCAGGACACCCAGATCTCAAGAGAGAATATTTTTAAAATGCTTGTCACGACGGCTTTTCAGAAAAACAGAAGTAGATTGTGATAACGCTACATCTGCACTGTGGAATACTGTTAGCGGGATTATTTAAATCAGTCGGGGTTAATTATTTTTAAAGATTTTCACCTAAATTGTTTAAGGTTTAAATTAATTGCTATAAACTACGAATTAAGTGTTTCACATCATGATTATTTCTTATTGGTGGACAAGTGTTCAAGACTCATTGAGTCAAGAATATTATTAGCGCCAGCAAGTACACATCATTATCTAGCTTCTACACTTAAAATCTTTCAATTTCTTTAACTGGTAATATTTGCATTTTAAAACTTCCAAGGTAAGATTCAGAATGGACTGGGAACAGGGCAAACAGAGATTAGGAATGGATTTTCTCTCTATCCCAAAACCAACCTAACCCTCAAATACAGTCATATCACAACATGCCTTCCCTAGAAATTCCGTTCCTAATGTGGGGTATGCAGGGTAGATTGATCTTACAGTCATAGTCATACAGCATGGGAACAGACCCTTTGGTCCAACTATTCCACACCAACCACGTTCCCAAACCAAGCTAGTCCCAAATACCCGCATTTGGCCATATCCCTCCAAACCTTTCCTTTTCATGAAATTATCCAAATGTCTTTTAAATTTTATAGCTGTACCAGCATCCACCACTTCCTCTGGCAATTCATTCCACATACTAGCCAATCTCTGTGTAAGATAAAAAGTTACCCCTCATGTCCTTTCCACATCTTTCACCTCTCTCACATTTAAAAAAAACCTCGAAGGTCACACTTCCATCTCCTATGCTCCAATGAAATAAGTCCCAGCCTATCTTTATAACTCAAACTCTCCATTCCCAGCAAGATCCTGATAAATCTTTTCTGAACTCAAATAGGTCGGCACAACATCATGGGCTGAAGGGCCTGTACTGTGCTGTGCTGTACTGTTCTATGTTCTATGTTCTAATGGCATCATGGGTCAACCCACAGCAGGTGGACTGCAGCGGTTCAAAAAGGCAGCTCGTCACCACCTTTTCAAGGGCAACTAGGAACGGACAATAAAACGCTGGCCAGCCAGTGATGCCCACATCCCACAAATGAATTTAAAAAAGCAGCTCCATCCTTAGATTTTCCTCCCTCCCCCACCCACAAAATAACATACAAATCACTAAATGCCCACAAGGCCCTCCTGACAATGTTCTGATATCTTTGGTTTCCTGCCCACTAGACAAAACTCAATTTCTAGCATTTTAAGATCCTGAATATAGGCCACTGGACCCTAGGAAGTCTTCCCTGCAGTTCCAGGGAACTAAACCTCTCAAAATATTGCCTGAAATCTAGAGACCTCACTCCCATTTCAAATCCAACAGAAGCTGAAGAAGTCCATGTCCTAGTAACCCCAATCTGCCCAGCAGCATTGCTCTTCTGAACAGAAAATCATTTAACAGCAAACTTATGGGGATCAGTTAGTCGTCTTAAAAAGACATTGAAAAATCTCTTACCTCACTGACAATAGTAGAGATGTACCTGTCTGTACTGTACACCCAGCCGTTAATACAGGGCTCTATTTCACGTGCTGTGTCACTGGAGCGGTCTCCTATAATAGTTTTGAATTTGGTGCACCGACTGTACACTTGCTCACCATCCCTTTCTTCAATAGGGATCCGTAGACTCAGGTTCGGAGAAGACTTACTTTCTTCGAAGGTGCTATTTGGAGAGTCGGGCAGGCGGCAGTGGTGCTGCGGGGTGTCTCCCACGAACACCATACACAGACTAGTGTAACCGTTCGGGATGATGATGACACTCAGCAAGAAGAATATTGTTTTCTGGAAAGGACCCCACGCCCCTAGGAAGGCAGTCAATTCATCATAATCTTGCACGTCCATCCTCACAAAATATGTGACCCTCCCGGGACAACCGCCAGTCCCAATAAATCATGCGAAGAACAAGCTCTTCGAGTCTGCAGAAGCAAAGACAACGTTAATGAATAATGTTTTAATCAAAACTTGTCAACCACAGCAACTTCTTCCAATGCAAATTCAAACACCTTTCACAACACGTCTCCTGGCTCTGTTTAGATGCGCACGCGCGCAGGGGTGAAATAGCAACAAGGAATTTTGATACTTTTCTCTGACCACGTGCTTGAAGCTGCTTTAAAGAAAACTTGAATCAGAGATAGTAGGAACTGCAGATGCTGGAGAATCCGAGACAACAAGGTGCAGGGCTGGATGAACACAGCCTTCGGGTCTAGGCCCGAAACGTCAGCCTCTCTGCTCCTATGATGCTGCTTGGCCTGCTGTGTTCATCCAGCCCTGCACCTTGTTGTCTCGGATTCTCCAGCATCTGCAGTTCCTACTATCTCTGTGTAATAGGCTAGAGTGTCTATCTCCATTATAGTTGGGTTTAATGTGATCAGTCATAAGGAAATACCAATTGCCTAGCACTTCAGGTAATGCAGTTTCTTACCAGTCTCTACTCTGGAGGAAATGAACAAACATTCCCGCAGACAACAAAACAATATATTCTTTACCAAATGAATCCAAAGGAAAATCAAACCTTGAATTTTACAATTGATGTAGTTTCCCTTGTGTCTGCCAATGCCAATACGTTCTCTGCCCTAATGGGAATTCACTTCAGGCATGTAGATTTCCTTGTGAATGTGAAGTTTATTCCAAAGCAGGTCAACATTTTTTTTTTAATGTTGACCTCTCTGCCTATCTGGAAATCGATTGTTCCCCAGTCCTGAACACGAATGGCTTCAGTTTAGAGACTGGATGATTTTTCATTTCAACTGGAACAATACATACATTGTCCAAAAAATCTTGCTTAAATAACGAGGTGAACCTCATGCAATATTTTATGGCCGAAAGGGACATAATTCTCAGACACGATGATAGTACCTGATACCTTCCTAATTGGCTGATCAGGACCCAAATCCAAATATGACATTGCTCTGTATGTAGACATGATTATTGACAGGTAATTCCAAATTAAAGCCTTAGTTTTTCTGTTACTAAAATTAATGAATTCATCATTTGAACCATTGTGTTAATTAGTTGTTGTAATAAGTTTTTGACAAGGAAGAATTGATTGCACCCAGCCTCCAGGCCTCTCTCTGCTGGCTGATTTCGTCTGCTCATCATGCTGAAATAACTTTTTTTTAGCCTTATATTTAGAATTATTATCTAGGATGAAATTGGATATCTTAGCCTTTCACCACAACCTATGTGTCTTTTTCCTTTGACTTTAGATT